TATGTCAACCTGAGACCGAGCACTTCGGTCCAATCAATCGACGGGAAAATCAAAAATTCAATTCAATAATTGATAATAAACTCGTTGTTGTAAAGAGAGTCTCATCGCTAAATCACTTGTGTTCTTAATGCTACAATGAGAATTATTAAATAACAACATGACCTTTTGATCTGTATTCTCCTGTAAACACAAATAAAAACATTTACAGAAAAATATTGAAATAATTCGTAAAACAAAGAAATCAGTCTCCTGTACACACGAAAAGGAGAGAGGCAGACAGGTAAACAAAATGTATCACTCCCAAGAGTTGAGGTCATGCCAAAAAATACCTCAGAATGAATAAATAAGACCTTCTTTCTCCAGAACAATCGGAATCAACGAGAACAACAAGAATAACAAAAATGCGTAAATGGAAATCCAATCCATCAATGAGATATTGACTGTAACATTTTAGAGATAATCAATAAAAGACGCGATAAGGAAGAGATATGAAAGTATCTCTCTCTCTCTCTCTATGCTTCTCAGGTTTCATCAGCACACAATCTGAAATCCATTCTTTTAATGAGGCTGAATAACCGATTACCACAAAAACAAGAACGACTATCTGAAATGGCTTAGCATAACATAGGCAGCAGTCTGCTTAAAACTTGAGGGTTCCTACCGAAAACCTCCATCTATATTCCATATATATAATTTCTTATATTCAGTTTGCTTAAATCTAATGAAATATGATCCCTGGCGAGTATTTAAAATGTTTACAACCCATTATCAGCCTAGTATAATCGTGGTTGACAGAGTATCTGAAAACATGAGATAATTCCTTCTGATTGTCTACTTGCATGATGGATCATTTGCCTAAATGGTTGAAAACGGCTGAATGCAAAGTGCTAAAAAACATCAGTAACAAAACATCTTGTGGACAACGGAATTGATATCAACGCGCTGTCAAGTCATACACTATTGTCAGCAGACAAAGAAACAGGAAGATGCTTGCTATTCTGGAGGAGGCTTGTGCAATTCGAGTTTATAAACCAGGTCTCTATGTACAAAGGAGATGGTCATCACTCTGAATTTACCATGGTAATACGTTTTACTTATTATTCTACCTCTTATTATTATAATTCTTGATTCACTTAAAAATATCCCTCACCTTAACTCACTTCAGCATTATTATTATTATTGTAGCTATAACTATTACTATTGATATTACTCTGTTTGCGATTCTTGATATATTTTCCAATGACTAATTGTTTATCTAAGTGATGTAATTGAAACGTAATGCATTTTATCTTGATTTTGATCTCTCATACTCTCTCTCTCTTTACTTGTCTATTTGAACATGACCTGGAAAACATTCAAAACTGTCTCTGTGTATGACTAATTCAATGTAGTTTATTTGCTTATCACTCTTATATCTCCCAATGTAATTTCAACGGTGTGTATCTATCGGCTGACGAGTTCTACCGAAATTTGATGAATTCATTAAATCCTGCTTTATTAACCTTTATTGCTTGTTTTAAATTCGTATCGGGAAATAAATGTTTTCAATTCTTGAAGATAGGTCCAGATTGTTTGCCTAGCCTCATTCTTAAAAAATGTGCAGATATCCTGTGTTATCCTCTCATAGACATACTACTTAATGAAATGTCGTGTCAGCCATTTGGGAGGAAATTAAAATTGTATCTATACTTAGACAAGCCAGAAATATTATTAGGGGTTTGCTTTGAGCTTCAGAAAAGATAGCCCTGTATCACGCGATCGACTGTTAGCCATATCCTGGACTAAGAGAAAGTAGAATGCTGTAAGTTAAACTGAAAGTGTTATACATTATGTAAGCACCTTTCAGAATGACTCTATTGCTATCATTATTATCATGATTTAGCATTACAAGATATCGATTAGTTGAGGTAGAATCAGTTAGTAACAGTGTTCTCTGAAACAAAACTCTCATTTACCTTTCACCAGTTATCAATTGTTCTCTGTTTGAGTACAAAAAAATAACCTCCTTTTTTCTGATCACCTCCGTGTTGAGCTCTATCAGTCCACCTACTCTTGTGGAGCAAGATAAATTAGCTATAGCCAGAGGATATTATTCACACAGACGAATACGAGAATATATATTCCAGAATGGTTTTACAAAGGAGACAAGAAGGGTGTGCAAAGCTGTATTTTATAACACTTGATTGAATTCACTATGATTTTATGATCACCTGCATAGAATTCAAGCTAATCTGAGGCGTTTTCTTACTATCAAGCTTCTAAATAACCGTGGAGGCCTTGGTCACTTATGACTTCAAGTCAAACCTTTGTGGTAAAATTCCTATTTCTACCTTTGCCTTAGAGGGATAAAACTTTATCAATTGATTTTTCGTTTTTATTATTTAATCTGCTGTGCATTTCTCTTATTAGTATGACTGTTATTATTGGTAGTATTCTTGTTCCTCCTTCGAAGTGTTTCCGCAATTATCTAACTTGTCCCATTGACTAGCTAAAATCAAAACTTCTTTCTCAATGTTGAATTCTGTCTTATCAAACTTTTTCACAATATTACATAATCTTTTAATTATCTACTAACTCTATTATTTCTACAATTTTTCATCCCTTTCCAAGATCTCTACACTTTATGAACTATTCTGTATGTCAGTTAGAGAACCAATGAAAACTCGGCCACATGGAGTACTGGACAGCTGTTTCGTCAGCCTAGTTTGGGACTATTTCATCACTATGCACCCACAGTCACTGTTTCGAACCCAGGACCTGCCGGCTACAAGACGAGATCGTAGACTACTCAGCCATTGGGAATGAAGATTGATAAGTCGGCTGAAGGTTTTAAAATGTGTAAGATGAGTAGCGAGTGCAAAACAGTGTATGCATTAAAGAGGAGATAGTATTGTGGTGAGAGCTGGCTGCAAAAAAACCAAAACTGTAGACAACAATTTACGTCGATGTTACGCGCCGAATTGGGGTGATGAGAAAAAACAATAACAAAGCCTAACCTTGAGGAACTCAACAACCAGTCACAGCAGACTTAACGTGTGCAAATACAATTCGCAGATATATGGCTTAGCTTTCTGAGAAACTGTTTCTTGATTTTCTCAATAAACTATCTGTTGCCTGGTCCTTGTCCTCTGCCGCCACAGTATGACTGTGGGGTGATGAACAGACTTCATCATGATATAATCAATATGTGAAATGAAACTGATGGAAACATAGGTATATTAAGAAAAAAGGTAATATCAGTACTACTAATAATAAGTATAAATGAGAAATTCAATAGTATTGGAAGAATGCTAGAATGAAGAATGTAAATCATAACAGATAGTAATAATTAAAATAACAAACTATGCGGAGCAAAGAAAAAGAAAAAAGAAGTTGATAAGTAGAAGAGGCAATTTCGGAGAGGGAGTGCCTTAAAGTGTGAATTTCGAATGCAAGGTTCCCGTTCAGTTGAAATTATTGCAACAGTTTCATCTAAATGTAGAATACATAGGTGAACTGTGTGTGATAATAGCTTTGGAGTGTCGCATATATAACCCCAAACTGTATGTTGATGTCGATGCGACGTAGAGATAGGAAGATAAGGAATGAAGTGGTAGAGCTTGTTGATCACTTCACTTATTTGGGAAGTTGCATCAGCCAGCCTCAATGGGTTGATTGCGGACGAAATCTCAGCACGGGTACAGAAGGCTCTATTGCCATGTTCCAAGTTATGTCACCTCTGGCTTAGTAGACGTGATGTTCGGCTGTCAAACAAAAGACGCCTGTACTGCTCAACAGTTCGCTCTGTCTTCCTTTACGGCTGTGATACCTGACCATTGAAAGTGTAAGGCATGAAAATGACCGCTAGCTGTCTTTCAGCAGAGGCGTCTGCCTTCTATCTCCTATGTTAAGTGGTGTAATGAGGTGATAAATTTTGCGGTTAGTCATCGGTTGCATGTTAGGTAAGCAGGCGAAATCAATCGACGAGGTTGTGAAGTTACATAGACTGAGACGGTTAGAACGTGTGTCACGTATGCATCCCTAGCCACTGATCGGTTTCCTCGATGGGTAATGTTAGCTGACTGACATAGGATCAGGTTGGAAAAGACCTAGCACTTGGTGGTCAAACCAAAACATGGCTTCACCAGTCATTGAAATCCAAAGCAGTTAGTTTAAGCCGGCCAGGTATGCGTAGACTGTCTGCCTGACTGGTTGGGGTCCTCAGGATGGCAAAAATCAATGACACTTTGAGACAATCGGTGATATGGCGGGTTAACAATCGTTCTCAATGGCTGGTGCAGATGCATAAACTCCTTGTGACTTAAAATACTTGACAAAACTAAATTGTTCTTCTATATTACTATTCCTTTTGCCTCATATCTGTGTATATTGTCTCTGTTTTGAATCTCTTTTTACTTTCTTCCCCTGCATTGTTTGCTAAGGGAAGTTTGTTACAGCTCGAACTGCTCCACATCTGTGCAAAGTTCTACGTTGAAACCAGTCAATTAGTCAGTCAGATGCGATGTTCTGTATCCACCAAGTGTGACAGAAGTGAACATTGCAAACACTTGATTCCCCTCCCCCTTTTTTTTTCTACTGAACCAAGCTGATAAATGCTGTCGAATTAGTACACCAGCTCGACTACATTATATGAATCTATTATGATGACTAATCACCACCATTCCCCTCTCGCATTTTACAATATTTTTGTTAGTGAATTCAGCTCAGGACGTTTGTTACACCAAGGTAACTGAAACGCAACTGGATTTCGATAAAATTCAAGTCAGACAGAAGACAACATCAATTCAACAGCAATCCATAGAAACTGCTATTTACTGTTCACCAGCTCCACAGTGTACACAGGTATATAGGCCAGTTCACTAGGGGATGGGTGGGTTAGTAAGATAACTCAATTTTACTAAACAGATATTTGAAATCACTGTAGTACTTTAACCAGGTAGTTTTAATGAAAAAAAAATGCTAAAACATTACGATTAACATTTCTGTTAGATTACACATACCACGTTTTCCTGTCACGTTGGGAGTAGATCGACACGAATACCGACCTAAAAAGATGCGAAAAAAAGTAGAGGAAGGAGGAATGACCCACTAGAAATAAAAAAAAATTCTACTTAACACAGATTTATGTGAAGGGTAAATAGAAGTTTAACACCACAGATGTTGAATTTGATGCCTGTGATAAAATTTCTTCAAATAGACGATTTAAAAAAACTGTCAAATAGAGATAAGAAATATCCAACTACTGATATTATCCCCTTCGTCACTGGACACAATGAAAGACTTGTTTATTTTTATTATTATTGTCTACTTTAGTACGTAGAGGAACAAAGGGCTTCAGCTACACGTCTTCATTGTGTTCAGTTCTCCGCCAAGATTTTCACCTGACTGCAAGTCTGTCTGCTTGCTTTCATCTCCTCTTCGCATGACCTCCTCCATGTCACCCCACCCTCACACTGACGACTAACTCACCGCTTCCCATTCGAGTTCCGCTTGAGAGCCTTGTTTACTTACATAATACTTAACCACCTGAGGATTTACCACTCCATATAATAAAACTATGCTCAGCACAAACCAAAGCATTATGCCATGCAGTTATTGGCTGACAACGCAGTCATACGCCTATAGAAAACGAACTCGTACGTCTGAGAGTGAGTTTACTCCAGTATTCCTATCAAAATGCCCTCATGTAACCAAGCATTCATAACATCTACCAAGTAACTTATATTGAGCATCTTTTACTGGCTGGCACTTAAGATATTCTCCGAAAAGGGAAAGCGCAAGTGTGAATATCCGTTATGCATCACTCCGAGTGATAAATTTGAACGGTTGGTATCCATGGATTCTGAGAAATTACAATCTGAAACCTATAAGTGGCGGGTATAACCTAAGAAAGGAGAAAAATGCACACAGATTTGGTCAACAGCGGGATGTTGTCCTTCAGGCTATTGAATAGCAATGGCTGACTGGAAAAACTACTCTCAGAGATGCATCAGGGAATGTTCTTTCCAAGGACTGCGAGACCCTCCTTTAATGATATAGGAAGTTGAGTAACCTTTGAATTCCAAGCTCATGTACAGCATTTTATTGGTTACGGATGATAAGTCACAATTCATAGGATTTGAATGTATATTCTTGTATATAAAACCTGGTGGAAATCCATTTTCTATTAGGATTTTCTTCAAAAGATTTAACTCATCCTCTACAGTTTCAGGACTACGAATACGCCAAATTCGAGTAGCAAGCGACGGGACCAGGTTTCGTTTTCAAACGACCACGACCAAATTTTATACACAAGAATACACATTCAAATCCTATGAAACGTGAATTATCATCCACACCCCAAAAAAATGCTGTACATGAGCTTGGAATTCAAAGGTGACTTAGCTTCCGATATCATCATAAGAAGGGTCTCACAGTCCCTGAGAAGAACATTCCCTGCTGCATCTTTAAGAATAGCACTTACCAGTCGACCATTACAGTTCAATAACCTGAGGGACAGGATCCTGCTGTTGACCAACTCTGTGTGTGTTTATCAATTCACCAGCTCGTGTGGAGCTAGATATATCGGTCGTTTGACTCGAGTTTTGTCCAAGAGGATGCGAGAACACTGTCCTGCATGATGGTTACGAAGAGGTGGAAGTGCAGCTATAAGAATCGCGATCATTAAACATCTGGTGGATATTGACCACCCTATTTCTACAGCCTCCGCCTTTAAAGTCATCTAAAAGGCAAAATGTCATTTGCCCAAATCACTACGTATCAGACTTGTCGGTACTGCTGAAGCTTTAGCAATCGAAACAGAATAGCCAGATCTCTGTATACAGAAAAAGTTCGTTCAACCACTCCAACTTTCACGATCTTAATCCCTCTTTGCTAAAGTATGGTAATCCCTAATCGTATTTTGGCTGTACCTATTTTTCGTTTTGTTTATTCATTTTGTATACTCTGCCTTTATTGCGTCAGTTGTTACCATTACTATTCTCAATTTGAATTATCTCTGGTAGTATTTCACCTGTTTCTGGTTGTTATTTTAAGTCAATTCTGTTTTGCAACGTTAAATTCTATGTTATCAAATTTCACAATGTTACGTCACATTTTGATTTTGATTTTATTCGATTTGCCTACTAATCCTATAATTGCTTACCCCTTCCAAGTTCTGTACATCCTGTGGATTATTCTTTATATGATACTAACTGTTTCGCCACTTGACATTTAACTATGATTATAATCACAAATATTTTAATCGCATTTCATACTATTATTTATTTTATGCATTCACACCTATGATTCAATACCGTTACCGGATATTTATTATTATTTGCTTTATTCCAAAACAGTACTTGTGATATATAATGGAATTCTCAGCATTTCACTACAGTATTGCATCCAGTTTGTACATTAAAAATGAAGCTACATCGACTGAGATGGTTAGGACATGTGTTACGTATGCCAAGTCATCGCCTCCCTCGACGAGCTATGTTAGCGGATATAGGGTCAGGCTGGAAAGAAGCTAGCGGCGGTCAAACAAAAACTTGGCATCAGTCAATGAAATCCACAACAGTTGGTCTAAGCCACGTAGAAAGGTGTAGACTTCCAGGCTGGGGTCCTCGGGACGGTAAAAATCTATGGTTGGAAACAATTGGTGACATGGCTCAAAACCGTTCTCAGTGGCGCAGATGCATCCACTCCTTGTGACTTATGATCTCCAATGAAACTGTTTTGTTATTCTTTATTCTCCTTTGTCTCACACCTCTGCTCACTGTTTCTATTATGCTTTTCTTGTACTTTCTTGTCTTGCTTCGCGTGCTATACGGAATGTGGCGACTTGAACTTCCGCACATTTGTGCAAAGTTCTATGTCGAAAACAGACAGACAGACATTAAAAATAAATGAAATTCTATATAGATTACAGTTAATTTCAGTTAATTTTGACAACAACATATTAGCATATCGGTAGCGAAGCCAAAAGTGAACAGAATGTTTGAAGGTGTTAGAAAAGTAGATACTACTAGCATATTTACTGGCGTAAGCGGTAACAATAAGGTTGAGATATACAGAGTGTGGAAAAAACGAAGAAGAATGTCTTAAGTAGAGTTTGTAAGGAAGACAGAATCAAAACAGCACATAACAAAAAAAGAGAAAAGGAAGAGAAGAAAAGAAAAACGTTGTGCCTATAAATGATATGAGTTGGAAAGACGAGACCCAGTTGTTCTACTGACTATGTAGACTATGACCTATTGGTCATAGGTATCACGTCTAATGCTTTCTTCTTTATCGCACAGAACATGAGCTTAGTAGGGTATGGTTGAGTTTTTGTACTTACTAGTGCGAGCATATACTTTTCTATATAGGCTTCTGCCTTTGCCTGATGAGATACAAGGGGAGAGTTGTGAATGAAGTGGGTGGTGGTGTGAGTTAGACAGATAGAATGGATATAGCACATTTTTCAGATAAGTCCAAGTGCCTGTCGACCAGAATAATAACAACCTGGTTGAGTGGCACGTTGCTTATTCCACTGACAACCCTCAACATCCTGCGTAATAAGATATAGTCCTTCTTCAGTAACACTGGAATAACTAAGGTGGAACAATAGAGAATAATCGACAGGATGCAAGAGTTAACGAATCGTAAGAGTAAGGGTTGGGTTGGGTTATTTCAGAATGTCTTAACTTCTTGATGTAGAAGGTAAGATAAAATATTTTCTTAGAAATCATCAAGATATGAGACGACCAGGAAAGATATTTAATTCCCGACTTGGTATCTATTTCAGTGCCATCTATGTTGCACACCTCGTGAGTGTTGACCAGTTTGTTTAGGTCAGATTTATCCCTAAGGGTGAAATTGACTGTTTGGCATTTAGAGGGGTTTAAGGTTAGACCGTTTTCCTTGGACCACTGGCTGATTTCTGATAAAAAGCCATTTAGTTTGGAGCAGTCACTTTGACACTTGACAGGCAAAGACACAGTCAGATCGTCAGCATATTTAACAAAATTAATGTTTCTGGGTTATTTTAAGGATCTTGAAAGACGACTCTGCTGGAGGTACATGACTTGAGTTCACCAAGTACTCAAGAACTGAGCTAGTAACTGTCTTGCATTGCCTTTTTGTTAACCATGCCGGATAATGCTCAGGGATTCTTTCAGAAAGTGTGCACTTTGTGAGGCCAAGATAACTAGCTCCAGAGGAACAGGAGAATTTGTAAACACACACTGAAGTGGCCTAAGGTGGCAGTTTATTCTTCACACATCCATTGATCGTTGGTTGGCTGTAGAAATTGATCCGTACCTCAGCCTCAAAGGAGGCTTTTATCATTTATGTGGAAAAGCGGTTTTTCAGCTTCTTTGCGGCTGAGTTGTGGATCGATTTCTACAGCCAACTAACGATCAATGGATGTGTGAAGGATAAATAGTCAGTTTGGACCACTTCAATGAACATTATGCGGCTTGGTTAGCAAAAGGACAATGCTACACAGTTACTAGGTGGATTCTAGAGCACTTGGTGAACTCAAGCCACGTAGCTCCACAGTGACTGAATAGTAGCTTACTGTTATGACGGGATGTTACTCCGGTAGTAAGTTCGTCTTACGTGAACAGAACGCACCTCCAAAATTATTCCTCACATTGAGAGAGACACAAAAGTCAGAAGGAACGACAACAACAACCAGAACAACTTTTGTTAGAGAAAATATGTGGTATGTTATATTTGCAAATCCTCAGAAAATTAAGCCATAAATAAACCAATCAAAATTGTCCAGTAATCGTTACCATATCGGTACGTTTTTTCCGTCCTAACACATCACCCGACCTACACAACCTAACGACTATGGACATCACATAACCGTTAAAGACCTATTTTCTCAATTCCTGTACGTTCCCACTAAAACATAGGGCTTACAACTAGAGGCTTGAAGTTTCGGTAGCATTGGAGTTGATTTTTACAGGTTGGGATTCCTAGCCCTATGCCCAGCCCGACCTTCCCCTCTTTACCAGTCATACTACTGGCTTAGCGAGGTAAAGGAGTGCGTCTGTGTCCGGGGATTGAACCC